CAAACCATCAGCACCTGTATAAATTTCTTACTACTCTGTCTGGTATTTTACTGGAGGTGCTTCTTTCCCACCACTCTCCCCATCCCATCTAACCCCAACCCTTCACTTTTTGTCAGTTCTTTTCTCAGAGCTTAACATTTGTTTTTCTTCCATAACCTAGGATGCTGTCTTCAGTTATATTCCTCAGCTTGAATCTGAAGAGTGTCTGTCTGCAAGGCCACAGATGAGTGCATCTGTCACTTCATTCATCTGGATCTTAAATTTCCCATGGAAACTATAAGCTTGGAATACCTAATATGACACACTTATCAACATGACTGAGTATTTTCCTTTTCTTTTTTTCTTATTGTTGTTGTAGTTAAATCCACAAAGCTCAAGCTCAAGTAAAACTTCTATAGCCAGTGACTGTTCTACATTAGAGGATGTGACTAGGCCCAAAATACTATGAAGTGAAGGTCGAAGCCCGATAAGGGCATGTTGGAAGGAAAATAGTCAAAATAGCTAACATTTAAGTATTAGGAGATGTTAAAGGGGCAGACCGACTTGAAAAGTAAATATTTTATAGGTAGGTTTTGCCATGGAAATAGGGAGTGGGGAAAGAAGGGTAGAAAACTAGAAAAGCCTTTGTCAAATTCCTTTTACCAAAGAATTTTGTCAGAAGTATGCCATGGCCAAAAAAAAAAAAGAATTGTTGCTTAGAAACTTGCAGTGACCCATGGCCCAGTTTCAAGAAAAGTAGCATTCTAGTTCTAGAGTTTTTTAAGTAGGCACACAAATCCCATTGTACAGTCAGGGGCTGTGATTATACATTAGGCTTTTAAAATTTTCTAGGTCCATTCATCATGCAGAATCTGGGCAAATGAAATATAAACAACTCTATTCTGCCAGCATAAAAACATTACTAGCAGCATAAGAGGACTCAATAGGCATCATCGTACAGGTCTAAAATAATGAGTCCAAAGAATTCTACATACAGGCTTTGCTGCCATTGTGCTCTGTGACCTTTAGCAAATTATTTGCCATTCTGGTCAAGCCTGGCTGGTTAAGGTTAGGGTCATTGAACCAATTATCATATATGGTGGTAAACTTTATAAAGAAAATTGTTTCAAGGTCACATTTAATATAAAAATAAATTTGAAGAAAGAGGTAAAAAAAAAACAAACCGTAGATGATATGAATGACTAAGCATAATCCTATCGCCACTACGCTAAATAAAAATAATTCAAATGCAAGGCCAATTTCTCAGTTATTGGTGTTATCTTTGAATGTGAAAGACAGGATCTAAATATTATCATTCTTTTGCGGCTCCTGTTTGCTCATCTGTAACAAAGTGGGAAAAGGATCATTGTACTCAAAGGATTGTTAAGATAAGTGACCTATAAACATGCCTGCCAAGTGTTTCTTAAAACAGAAATTGCTCCATGAAAGTCCCAGTAATGATCCAGTGGCCTGGAACAATCCAAGTTCAGTGTCTCAGCCTCTCCACGTCCTTTTGTCATCAGGTGTGTAAATATTCCAGGCACTTCTGACCTCTGAGACATCATTAGGTTTTTTAAGTACATGGAGGTACAAAGGGGGAAGGGGCAACAACTTCTGATAGATCCTTTCTCTTTAAAACCTTACCTAGAAGTTTTAAATTGAGAATTATGCCAGTCTGAAATGGGAGAATAGAGCCTGAATGTCAGTATCCAACTATAAATAAAAACTGATAGGCAATCATTAATAAGTCCAAATTCCCACTGATTTGAAAAAAGAAGTAGCAAATCAATTTTCAACCTATCTCTCCACAATGCTGAAAGATCTATCTATCCAATTAATAGGGCAGCTCAAAATACTTCTACAATGAGCCGCGGAACATGAGAACACCTAGGTCTCTGGACAGTTGGCCCAGGACACTTTCCTGACTAAGGCAGATCAGCTACGGCCTCCCAAGGAGATCCCTGATCTTGGGTAAATCGGGTACTAGTCCTGCTGAAGTTCTAATCTACAAGCCTGGAATGGCTTTGGAGTCAAAGTTGGCTCCCGAGGACTGAGATTCTTCTATTCTCCAGGGAGAAGTGTCCAACCATGTGAGTTATGACTGGCAAAGTCCCCTGAGAGCACCCCAGAAACCCACTGGACTTGGAATACAGAACAGAGGGACTAAGACTGGGGAGGGGTCTTAAATTACCTTGCTTCTCCAGAGAGACTTCCTTAGACTTGGGGCTAACCTGGAATAGAGATAGCTGAGGATTCCAAAAACACTTCTGAACACAGAACCAAAGGTGCCATTGTTGAGGACAGGGTGTTAAAGAATGTTGCCTATATCGCTTCTCGGCCTTTTGGCTAAGATCAAGTGTAGTATCTGTTCTTATCAGTTTAAAGAATGTTGCCTATAAATTTCATAAGGCTGGTAAATGCCATCTGGAAATACCAGAACAATTACTTGTTAAATTAACCCACAGACTATGATCATCCTTTTATATCATAAACACCATTCCACTGTTTCTCAGAATGTGGTGAAGGGAACCCTGGGATCAGAATCACTTGGGGGGTGCTTGTTCAAAATACAGATTACTAAACCCCACCCTAGACTCCTGAATCAAATCCCAGAGAACAGAGTCCAGCCCTCAAACTGAATTTCTAAGGACCAACCTAATTGATTCCGATGATCCATATCAAGGCAGGAGAATTATTTTGTCTTTGTAGTCCATCAGAAATTTAAATACACTCACAGATTAGAGATAGGCATATTTTCCCCAAAATGTTTTAATTGCCATAAAAATGAAAACAATACTTCTTGTGATGAGTTCTTAAGAAACATTCCAGTTTATTCTGCCCACATATAATAAATAATAAACACCATTATTAAAATGTAATTATGAGCATAAAATTATTGGGAAAACTATCAACTATGCCTCTCAAAAATATTGCCCTTATTTTGTCACCAGAAGTAATTATGTTATTAAAGAAATGTATACTTCTTTTAAGTATCAGTTACTTGGCTGCAGGAACTTATTAAGCTGTTATACTCCTCCCATACCCTTTTAGTCATCAGAATTTTTGTGATAAAGGTCTTTCATTATTTCTTAAACTATAAATTGTGAACCATTGCAACCAGTGATTAGGCTGAACATGAATTTATATCCAGGTTATAAATTCCTAAAAACATGTTTCATTAGAATTACTAAGGCAGTCTTAACTCTAGTAGATTAAATAGCCTCTGCAATAAAGCTCTGTTTACTTCTATTAAGGATTTTTTTTTTTTTTTGGTGCAAAACAATTCAGTTTTAATGCATTCTCTTAAGAAGCAAAAGAAAACAGTTTCTGATATACATACTACTGCAAAGCAGTAAACCAGTGTTGCATGGTAATGTGACAAGCACCACATTTCTTTTCTAGAAGGATTTCATTTTTTCTCTTATAAACTCCCTTTCCCAAACCATGGCTAAAATTATTTCACAAAATGTAGTTTGCCATTCCTGAAGAGTCAAACACTCCTTTTCTTCCTCACCAAATCACAAGTACAGGCTGAATATTGAATGAAAATAGAACTTGAGAGGCAGTCTTTGTTTGTAGCATGTTGTTCCTACTAAGGGTTGCCCCCTACCCACGCTCCACCCTAGTGCTCCAACTGAAGTGACTGAAGTGTACATGTTATGTTTTAACAGATGGGCCGGCTGGCGGCTGCTGGGCTATAAAACAGGAACTCGGAATCTGCACCGAATGGTATTGAACTAAATGCTCATAAAGTTCATGGACATATACACTGATCCAGACAGACCAGGCAGATTCAGACATGCATACGCACACCCTCATCATACACCCCATAGATCGGAGGGTCTATCTCCCCCCACCAGAGCAAGTTCAAGGCTGTTTCCCCCTCCATATATTTCTTATTCACCTATCAATTTTATACACACACGCACATCTACATATGCATATACAAGCATGAATAGTCATAGCTCTCAACGTTTTTATATATTTTCACAGATCAAAATATTCCCAAATTGTGTACCCCAAGTCTCTAGGACGCTCAATAAGCTCTCATTCACATCCAAGAAGAATTACAAGAAAACATTATATTTAATTTTATTTGGTCCACACATAATACAAACTACATGTATGTAACTGCCCTCAGAAAAACCAGCTGCTTTGAGCCCCTATCATTACGACAGAGAGAGGAAAAATATCCCAGACTGAGTCACAGACGAAGTGTCAGGTTTAACCTTGAATCCTGTGTTGTCAGTTCCTGTCACAACTTCATCACTTAAACACCAACCGACCAGCCTGGTGGTCCCTCTCACGGTCTCGTCTCGGATTCTCCAGGGCTCCCTGCACTGGGACAGACAGCAGCTCCCCCTGGTCCTAAGGAAGTGCTTCGGACACAGCTTGCAGGTGATGCGGAGGTCCGAGCACCTCATGAGGGATGGGGATACAGGTGCTAATAGAAAGTAATTACTTTACAAAGTTTAAGATCCGTGCTGTCAATTCCTCTCAGTAATTGCAAGGCACTGACGCCCCCTTACAGAACCTAGCTAGTCACTTAAGTTCCCTGACCGCTGAAGACCCACCCCAAAGACGATGGTCGCTGGCTCAGGCTACGGACCAGACACCTCCGCCGGGTCACCGCGCCGCACCGCCTCCCGCGCGGGGTTAATTTTTCAGAAACCTGTCCTCAAGCCATCTAGGAACTGCACGGACGCCGCCCCCAGCGCGCGTGTCGCCGCCGCAGAGGGCGAGGGGACGCGTCCCCGGGCCCCACCTAATGATGGCAATTAGAACATGCCAAGTTGGTGAGAACGCAGAGCCGCGTCCCGGACCGAGCTGCGACTCTCTGAAACAAGTTCGGGAGTGGGGATACCCGCAAGGAGTAAATCCCACCTGGCCCTGACCTCCCCACAGCGGCCACGCTCGGACCGACGCACCGACGCCCGCCAAGACCCGTCCAGTTCCCCCCCAGCCCCCCGCTCGCCGAACAGCGCCAAGGGGAGCCGCTCGCCTCGCGCGCGGCCACTCACCCTCCTCGCTGAGTCCGGATCGCAAACCGACGCCCCTGTTGCGGGTCCCGAATCCCAAGTTGCCGCGAACCGGCGACTGCTCTCGCCCTAGCGGACCCCGCACATCGGTCCGGGCAGGTACCTCCGAGGGAGCACGACAAGCCCGGCGGGCGCCCCGGCTCAGCAGCCGCCCGGAACGCGTTGACAATTCATGGACCTGCTCAGCGAATGAGGCGGACCGCCGGGCTGAGGCTACCGGGCTCCGGAGGGAGGCGGGGCCGCGCGGCGGGCGGGGCGGAGCCAGTCCTGGGCCGGCCCCCGCGGGGGCGGGGCGCCTTTAACCCGTGACTGGCGGAGCCCGCAGCCAATCGCGGTGACTCCAGGAATCCGGGCGGCCGCGGGCCGGGCCGAGCGCCCGGCTCCGCCCCGCCGCCGCCGTCCAATCGGTCGCAGCCGAGGGCTGGCGCGGAGACGCGCCGGCGGCGGGGAAGTTGGCTGCAGTGGGGAAGCGGGGCTGCGGACTGGCGCTGTGGGGACGGCTGCGCGGGGATCTGGGTGCCTCGGGAGGGAAGTGGCGGCCCCGGGAGGCCCTGGCTGAGAGAGGTTTGGGGCCACCGAGACCCCTAGGGGTCGCGGAGTGTCGGCGAGCTGTGGAGCGAGAAGCCTGGCCGCCCGCGGACCGACTCCGGGTCGGCAACGCCCACACCTGGCGTCCGCGGGAGGCGCCGAACTTGGCGGCCCCGAAGGAGCCCCAGCGGTCGGAGGAAACCGAGACCCAAAGAGGGTGAGTCCCGGGCCGCATCACACCGTCACAGTTGGAGGCCCGGGCCCGAACCTGGGAGCTCCGGGCTCCTTGGAAAAGGTTGTGGTTGCGGTTTGGTGGTTCTCTCCGAAACGAAACTCCGACTCTGCGGACCTCCTGGAAAGTTCATTTACACGTCCCCTCCTCAGCCCCGCTGTCTTACCACCAGCGGCAGGGAACCCGACCAGGCGCCCAGGCTCCCTTCCCGACCCGAAGTGCCTGAGGCACCTGGGCAGAGCCCGGGGGTGGAAGGGAGGCTCGGGCGCTAGACGGCGCCGGAGCCCCCGAGACCCACCCTGGGGCCGGGCTGCCCTGTGGGGAGGCGGCCGCAGCGCGGCTCCTGCTGCCGCTGTTCCTTGGGTCCGCCAGAGGGCCCGGACCGCCCATCCTCGCGGGCAGGAACCCCTCGGAGCGAGCCACCTTGGTCCCACGATGCACGTTCACGGCCCCTGCCCCTTCCGAAGTGCCGGGACCGAGCTCCGGGAGCTCCCTAGCGGCGGGCACCGGAGGAGCCTGAGCTCCCTGGGCCGGTCGCGGCTGAAGAAGGAGGCTCTGTGGGCTCTGGGCGGCCGGGTCACTGCCGCTCCTTTTGTGGGCGGGTAGGCTCTTCAGCCTGTTTTTAAGCCCTTACCTTGGCTGCAGCATACACACATACGGAGCTGTGGGTGTAACAAGCCCGAAAGCAAAGGGTTGGGCGTTGCTTTCCAGGCTGAGGCCTAGAATCTTAGCAAGCCCCAGACCTCAGCTTTGGGTGCATAGCGGCCTCTGCGTACCTGGAACTGCGCCTGCCATCAGATAGGCACTCAAACCATGTTAGTAAATGGAAGTTAAGCAGGGCAGGAAAAGGGTCAGGCCGTCTGGTGCCCCGACAGCTTCCTCACTGACCATTGGCTCCCTCAGATTCAGGAGTCCTGAAGGTTTTAGTTTCTCATGTGTGAGGGACCAAGGACCTTTACAGGTGTTATTTCAGTGCCAGCTTGGCCCTCTGGAGGACCTCCTAAGGACCTGCTCAGCTCTCCTGAGCAATTTCCGATGAGACTGCCTGGCAAGACGGAGGGCAGAAGGCCTATAGCTGAAAGGAAGTGAAATGGCCCCTCCAGCAGGGAAGGCTACAGCTCTGAGGTGAGCTCGGGCCTGGTTTGAGTTTCAAGTGGCACCTCCTCAGCTCCCTGTCTCAGTGGGGAAAGGCCCATAAGGAAGGCAAGAAAATCTGGGTCTGGACAGTCCTTAGTAGGCCCTGAAAATTGATATGTGATGCAGAAATTGCATGTCTTTAAACCCCTCCTCATTTAGTGGATCAAAAGACCGGTACAGGCAAAGGAGTCCATTCCATTCAGTTGCAACAGTTGCTTACCATGCTGCTTAGAGAATGGCATTTGCCCACAAGGAATTAGCTGTAGACCACCTGAATGGAATACACACCAGGTCTCTGCCTAGGTTGGGATGGGAGGATCAGGGGAAAAATGTATTTCCTTGGATTCTTTTTTTCCCCTCTTCCTGAATATAACTAGAGAAAAAGTTTGCCAACAGTGTTTATCATATTAACACCCTGTGAAGGTTTTTCACAGATGCTAGTGATTATTTTAAAAATCACCTTGGTAATAGGAGCCAAACATCGGCTGTTGACTGTACTTGCTACATATAGTATTTATGTTAGATGATGAAAAAAGGAAATAGGAAATTTGTTTTTATGAAATAAGTCAGAACTAGACGAGAGACTTCCGTTTCCTGATTACCAAGGTTTTCTGTTTGTTTCATACAGACATCCTTGTCCATGGGTTCTTGGACAAGTAACTGGTTTCATTTTCCTTTATCGAATGGATGACACATAGGAGACAGCACGTCTAGACTCATTCACATTTTTTTTTTAGTTTTTTTTTAAAGATTTTATTTATTCATTTGAGACACAGAGATAGAGAGAGAGAGAGAGAGAGAGAAAGCATGAGCAGGGAGAGAGGCAGAGGGAGAAGCAGGCTCCTCGCTGAGCCAGGAGCCCGATGTGGGGCTCGATCCCAGGACCCTGGGATCGTGACCTGAGCTGAAGGCAGACGCTTAACCATCTGAGCCACCCAGGTGCCCCTCATTCACATTTCATACCATCTTCTGTTTTAATTGGTATTTGACAAGAGTTTATCCCTCTGGCACAGACTTACTCCTTTGGCTGTCATTCTCCCAATGATCTCTTGAGTTTCGGCTATCTCCATATTCTGCAAGGGAAAAGGAGATCTCTTACTTGCGTAAGAACTCATTATAGTCCTATCTGTATGAAACAAACAGAAAACCATGGAAATCTGGACATAGAAGTCACCTGTTTAGTACTAACCTGTTTCACTGAAGGAAATTTCTTTCCCTCAGAGGGATGAGGAAGTTTGTGGAATGGCTTGGGAATGAGAAGTTTGATGTGAAATCGTGGAAGCAGGGCTGGTCCATTTGTGGTGGTGTGGGTGGTGAGCAAATTTGCCTTCAGGCACTGTCACCCATCTCTGACATTGAAACAATATTTTGGAATCTTCTAAATTTCAAAGGGATGTGACTGCTAGGAGCCGTGAGTTCTGATCTGAGCTTGGAGTGCTGCTGGCAATCACTTAACCTCCGTTTACTCTTGCTTCCTCACCATAAAACCACAGTGGCAGAATTGGCCCCCTCTGTTTAGTTGCTTAAGGGGGACACGGTGACAGTGGTTACAAAGCACTGCAAGTGCATGACATTTATAGCAGTAGTGACTGTTGAAAAGAACAAAATGATGTTGAAATAGGAAAATAGTGTGGACAGAACAATTCCTCTCTACACTTGGAATTTCTATTCATTTTAATCTCATTGGATTATTGTCCTTTCATTCTATAAATGGAAATGAGGAAAAAGGGCCCTCACAATCCTTGTTCTTTGATAACAAATGTTTTTGGAAGCTTTGCTTAAGTGAATACTATTTTTCCCTCTTTTTCCATTTCCACCACCTCTCTGAACATGTATTCACTTTGAAAATTATTCAGAATTTGAACAGGCTGAGCTAAAGACCTTAGCAAAGAAATGCAATCAGAAGCAGCAGATTCTAATACCAGCTATGCTGTAGGTTCGTTGTAAGACTACAGGCAAGCCATACAGGCAACCTTCCCATACCTGAGTTTCCCAACTATGAAACTGCAGTGATACTTCTGACTAATTTCACAGAGAGGAGAGATAACTCGTGATAAGGCTCTTTGAAATATTAATTGCCATATAGAGGACAAAATATCATGTAGGCGATTTTGTAAACTCAAGTATGGTGTTAGTTTGCACACCACAACTAGGAGATGTTTTGTAACAGAGGGATTGCTCTGGCACGATGTCTGCAGCCAGGGTGCTACCACCCACAAAACAATGATGTCTCATGCATTTAAATGACGGTGCACGTGCCCCTTGTGAGCGTTATTGCCACAGGTCCAACCAAGTAGAAATGTGGTCACAGAAATGCATGGGAAAGGGAAACCTCCATTCTACAAAAACATGGGATTTCCTCGTACATGGAAGAAAAACTACACTGAACTTACTTATTTTTTTAAAAAATCGATGCCACTATGAGTACAAGTCTGATGAAAGACTAGAATGGTCTTGGAAAAATGGCCTGATACATAAAACTACACATATTGGCCAAAAGGCCACTAGAAGAGATTAAAAAATACTCTTAATTTTAAAACTTCATAACAGAATGAGTAACACTGAGGAATTTGGAAAGGGAGGGGTCCATGTACTCCAGGGAGGAAAAATAGACTCCCAACCCTTAGAATAGTAGGGTATTCTAAGAAAGGGGACAAAGAATATGGGCTCTAGAAACACGATAGACTGAAGGTTGGATTTTCTTTCATTGCTTCCTAACTTAGAGAACCTTGGACGAGTGCTGAGCTTCTCTGAGCCAAATGGGGTGGGGATGAAGAGTGTTGAGTTTTCCTCATTGGCTTGTTATAAATCTCAACTGAGAAGCTCTCTGTAACTCTTAGCACAGGGCTGGGCTCATAGTGGGCCGTCTGCCAATGACAACAATTCCTAATATTTACTGAGCACTCACCATGTGTCCTGCACTGTTCCATGTCTTTTCATCGAATTACTTGATGCTCACGATCACCCTCTTATGTTACTCCTGTCTCTTCTTCCTCAGAGTTGCTATCTTCGTGGAGGGACCATTCTAGGATTCATATCCTGCAGTGGACTAAAAGTCAGAAGCCTCTTTTAGTAATAGTATTTTAAACTAGCATTGCCTGTTTTCCTGTGGAAAGAGCTAATCCAATCTTTCCTGGCACCTAGGAAATCAGGCTGCCTTGAGCACTTGGTAACCCATACATTATAATAAAGGGAACGAGGGATTCAGAATTGGGGACAAAAAGAACCATAGAAAACAAGCAATGCTTCAAAACCCCAAACCACTTTCCAGGTCTCAAGACTGTAAGCTCCTCAATTTCGGCTTCCAAACAGTGTGCTCATCATCTGGATTTGGGGTGTAATGGAAGTTAGTTCCCTTGAGACAGCAGTATGGGAACAGTAACTGGCTAAAGAAGGAAAAAAATGGATTATCCCTTAGAAATGAATTGTATCATTAGTTATTATGAATACCCCAAATTATGACAGATTCATGTGTAAGTATGCCAGGGAAAAGTAGCCGTGAGCTATAATACACATAATCGTTTATTACCCAAGAGAATTTAGGTGCTAATGTGGATGGTTTTGCATCTGTGAGATTCTGAAACCCACAAAGGACTCCCAAGATATAAAGCCAAATAAAACATAATACAGAAGGAAATGATTTTGATTATGTAACATTTATATATAGCATTTCATTTTACATTTTCAAATTGCTCTTCAGTCATTGGTTTATTCTTCCCAGCACACCTGGGGAGTACATCCATGCTGTTATCCTCTGTTCACAGCTGAGGCAGCTGAGACTGAAGGAGGCAAAGTGTTTTGTCCAAGAACACAACAGGGGCAGGGTGAGAAATCATGCATTTATTCAATCACGAGTCTATTCAGCACCTACCCTTGGCAAGGCACCATGGTGTGGGGTGCACAGCGATGGAAACCATATTTGTGGTTTCTTCCTTGCCGGGAGTCTGCTGGGGCAATAAGTGTTTTGTGGATTATGTCTCTAGACAGTAAGGACCAGGGTTTAGAGGAGGAGAAGGTGAGTCCCCTAAGATTCCTGGAGATAGTGGGATATGTGGCCCTTGAGAGATGGGTAGAATTTTGGCAGATGGAGGCTGAGGGTGGTCAGAATGCCAGAGACAGAGACAGGAAGGCAAGCAAATTCAAGTCGTACTGGAGAATGTTTGACTTCAGCAGGACAGTTGTCAGAAAAGGGCTGGTGAGGAGAAAGGAGCAGATTTTCTAGCACACTGAATACCCAGCTAAATATATAGATTTTAGCCTGTGGGCAATGGGAGCTTGATTCCTCTCTGACTTCCATTTCCTCATTATTCTAACATGTACTGAGTGCTAATATACGCTTAGTCTCCTGATGTTTTCTCATACAGTGGCTTTTCTAACTTTCGCAGCATTCCGACGAGATACTATTTTTCCTCCTCAAGTGGATGAGAAAACTAATGTATTTAGAAATTCAGACTTGCCCACCGTCATGGAGCTAATAACTGACAGATGTGGAATTTGAAAGCATCACCTTTGACTTTCTCATAGGAACTTATGGGAAGAAGGGGTGCAGATTCTGATATATTGTACTCACAACGCCCATCTAACTGTGTTCCCTTCACCCTAGCTCAGTGTCTTTCCAGAAATGAAAAGTAAGTAGGAGAAAAAGAAAATGAATTTCTTAACGTGTAGGTTGTTTGATTTCTAAAGTCAGCTGCGGGTCAAAAAGAAAGACACAGGATGTTTCCCCCTATTTTCTGTGCTCTCCAATTAACAACAAATGTCTGCATTTTGATAACTTTAGTCTTGTGAGTATCTGTAATATATTTGGATCTCAGCTTAATCTTTCCATTAAGCCAGAATCTCTCTCTGGAGTTGGTCAATTCAGTCCCTAATCCTTTCCCTTAGCATGCAGCCCAACCCATTTATCGTAGTGCCCTGTGAGGTCTCCATCTCAGCTTGAATTTTGCCCATCAAGAAATAGCTTTTCCTCTCCAGATACAGGCTACTAATTAGCATTTTTACTGTTTAATCATCAGGACTAAAATACAAGTGAGAGAAGTATTATTGTTAATCCAAAAATACTTAGAAAGGAAACAGATTGCTTATTTAAATCTTCCTGTAAAGAAATAAAGAGATGCTCTCAGGTGGTGGGTGTGTACTTAGGTGACATAAAAAGTGAAACCGAAAATTTTAACATTTGTTAAATAGGGTGCTTCTCATTGAGCTGGTTTTGTGGAAGTTTCTTTGGAAAATCCCTGTCCATGATCAGTCAGAGAAGTCTTCCTCTAAAGCAAAATACCTGCTACAAATGAGAGACCAGTGTTGACCCTCTACATGAAGACAATCAGGAAACCACTGAAACGGGGCATTTCAAAATCCTAAATCCAATGTATAACATTCTCCTTGTCTCTCAACCCTCTAGTGCCTTGTTTGGCTTTGCCTGGATTGTATTTTATGACCCGAGTCATAGAGATTCACAAGTAAATAGTTGAGTGTTTTCCATGTTTTTTGTTTGTTTCTTAAAGAAGTTCAAAGAAAGTAAAGTTAACATGTAAGGATCATTAAATATCATCTAAGATCTTAAGGAGTCCATGTGAAAGACACAGAAAACAAGCACTGGACCAGAAAATTGTATCTGATTTCTCCTCTGTCTTAAAATGACATAAGTTTTTCCTGTGCTTTCAAGGAGAGCAGTGGTCTGGGACAAGGTTGTCTGTGTTTCACTGAGGAAAGTGAGGAAACTAATCCATGTTGTCTTGGCTTCTAGATCTGCAAAGTAGGGATGCTTACCTTGAGATAAAGAAAAAACAGAACTTTGAAAGACTCAGAGGAAATCACACAACTTATTGTAACCATTTGCATCTCTTTACAGAGAAAAAATCCACAATACATACTTCTGGGGATTTTCCATATTGATGGAAGAAAATGTTCAGGATACCAAAGTGAATCCCATTGAAGGCATGTATTAGCATTAATTTCTCCTAACTATTGAAATGAAGCCTGTGTGGTTCTTTCTCCCCTTAAGATGTTCAGCAAAAATCCTGAAACTCTGAAAGATGATTGATGTAGAAACATGCTAGAGTTAACCTTATTTTAAAAACAATAACTGTGCATAACAGATGACTTTCCCAACCAGTGAGACTCCCTGCACTGAGGCTCTTCTCACAGGAACTTCTGAATTCTGAACAAGGTCTGACAAGGTACTGCAGGTAGCAAAATATTGTGTGAGAAGTTAATGACATTTCATCTTGGTGTCTGCTGAAGGCCAGTCTAGGATTCCTCTGAAAACTGGCATGTCAGGTGACTAAACCTTGGGAGTCTTTTTGGGGAGGTTGTTGGTGTTGTCCTGTCTAAGGGACCTAAGGTCATTGAGTTAGAGCATCTCAAGGAACTTTTTGTAGCCTCCACAGTAAGCATTACAGTATACCATCCACAGATATAAATACTCAATAAAGATTTGTTTAATAGAATTTAATTGTTAGCAGGTCCTGAGCCTGAGCTTAACTAAAGCAGGCAACTGCCCTTGGGAATACAACCAAACCCTCAGGAGCCCAAAGAAAAAGAGCACAGTCAAGGTCAAGTGTCCCCAGAAAGGTCATGCTTATTTAGTTCATAGCTCAAATCAGTTGTGGTGGGCATGAGGGTACTAATTCCCATTCAGAGGCACAGAAACCATTCAGTAAATGAATTGAAATATGTAATTGGACCTGGCCCTTTAAAGTTTTGTGGCCCTTTCAAAGCCAAATGGAAAAAGGAAACACCGCATCTGTTTTCTGATTCCCTTTTCAAAGAAGCTGAAAATATATTGCAAATGAGCCCTTAGTTGTGGGTCACTATCCTTACAAGACCTGTGTTTGGTTCCAAGATTGGAAACTTACTCTGCCTCGCAATCTCACCCACCTCCAACTTGAACTAGGTCTCAAAGTCTCATTTTGACTATATATTCTTTCAGCCACGTGGGAGAGATGAGAAGAGGCTAAATACAGCCATATAAAAAACAACCATCAAACTAGAAAGCACCTTCAGGCTTAACATCAACAGTGAGTATATAGCATCAGCTTCAAGTCTTGTGTGAACATGCACAAATATTTTCTAAGAATATTTTTCAGAAGAGGGTATTTTTTAGATATAATCTCTAAATTGCATTATGAATGATAAATGAGAAGGTTAACAAACTTTATTTCAGGGATGTTTTACATATTTGCTGCCATGATTAGCTCTGTCTTTCTTTGTGACTATAGTCACAAAGGGAGCATTGCCAAACTGTGGTGTTGGGAAAGGATCTTTGAGATGATGACAAAGGTTGCAGGAAAGGCTCAAGTTTATTTTGGTATGTATTTCATTTTAAAAGGCTGTGACTAGGACTTCATACCTATCTAATAAGCATATATTTTTATGTTTGCTGAATGCCTTAAAGTCCCCCATTAGTCTCCCGTTGAGGGTGGGTCAGTATTACAGCCAACAGTTTACATTTGAGGAAATTTAAGACACAAAGGGATTATGTGATTTGTACCAGGTCACCCAGCATGCAAGCCTACCTAATAAAAGATGACTGCAAAGCTCTTTCCAAATAAAAAGTGCCTTATAAACATTAGGTAGTATTAATGGGCATGATCCCAGGATGAGTAAAATACTCTCTAGGAGTAAAGTGCTCATACACACTCTATATGATTAATTCTTTTTAACCTCAGGGCAACTTTTGATATAGGAATTCTTGAACCTGGCTATGCGTCAGAAATGTCTTTATAGTTTTGAGAACATGTGAGCACCTGGGCCCCTACCCAAGCTGTAGAATCATAATCTGGGAGGCGGGACCCAGATAATTTGTATCTTGTAAAAGCTCCACAGGGGATTCTGATGCTCAGCCAGGGTGGAGAACCACTATCCTGGACTATAATAATAACCTCAGACAAGCCAAGAGCAACAAGACATCATGGAGTCAATTTAGGAGAAAAAGTCTAGCGTCTTCCAGGCTTCTGTCTACCTAGTTCACAACTGTTATTAGCAAAGGAACTGCCTCCCTGAAAGACTCAACTGTGTATCCATGTATGGAATTCCAGGAGATAGGGCCGAGATTAAAGTTTATTTAAGACCCACCCATGTTTGTTATAATATACTGGGTAAATTTATTGTGTCTTTTCTTGGGTTATTACTGATTCCACTCTAATATTTTTATTTGGAGTACCCTGTATAATAATCAACAGTAAAAAACTCTAATATCTGCCCATTCACCCATCCGTCAGACATTTATTGAATACTTGCCATGTGGAAATTACAGAGTGAAATAATGTTCTTTGTCCATAGGAGTTTATCAACAAGTGATAAAAAAGACACAGGCCAAACAAACAAAAACCCTGTAATAGTAAGCCATACATACTGAATGATAATCAAAATGTAGATGAGACATTATTCATAATTGCTAAAAAGTTGAAACAACCCAAATGTCATTAATTGAAAAATGAATAAATAAAACCTGGTATAGGGCGCCTGGGTGGCTCAGTTGGTTAAGCGACTGCCTTCGGCTCAGGTCATGATCCTGGAGTCCCTGGATCGAGTCCCGCATCGGGCTCCCTACTCTGCAGGGAGTCTGCTTCTCCCTCCGACCCTCCCCCCTCTCATGTGCTCTCTCTCATTCTCTCTCTCTCAAATAAATAAATAAAATCTAAAAAAAAAAATAAAACCTGGTATATCCAAACATCAGACTATTATTCAACAATATAATGAAAGGAAGTACTGATACATGCTAAAACATGGATGAGCTCTGAAAAAAATATGTAAAATGAAAAAAGCCAGTCCCAAAGAACCACATTTTGCATGATTCCGGTTATATGAAATGTCCTGAATAGGCAAATCTATAGAGATAGAAAGTAGATTACGATTGCCTAGGGCTGGGGGAGGGTGAAATGGGGAGGAACTCTTAATGGGTACTGGGTTTCTTTTTGGGGTGATTAAGATGTTCTAAAATTGTGGGGCACCTGGGTGGCTTAGTTAAACGTCTGCCTTCTGCTCAAGTCATGATCCCAGGGCCCTGAGATCGGGCCCCATGTCAGGTTCTCTGCTTAGCGAGGAGCCTGCTTCTCCTTCTCCCTCTGCCCCCCACCACTTGTGCTCTGTCTCTCTCTGTCTCTCTCTCACATGCGTGCTCTCTCTCTCAAATCTAAAAAAAATAAATTTATTTTTATTTTATTTTTAATTAATTTTTTATTTATTTGAGAGAGAGTGAGAGAGAGAGCACAAGAAGGGGTAGGATTAGAGGGAGGAGCAGACTCCCTGCTGAGCAGGGAGCCCGATGCGGGACTCGATCCCGGGACTCTGGGATCATGACCTGAGCCGAAGGCAGTCACTTAACCAACTGAGCCACCCAGGCGCCCTAAAAAAAAATAAATTTAAAATGTTCTAAAATTGTGATGGATATACAACTCTGTAACTATACTTTAAAAACCCCATTAAATTGTACCCTTTAAATCGGTGGATTGTGTGGTACATGAATTATATCCCAGGAAAGCATATATATACATAGACATATATCTAGTGCTGTACGAACTTAGAGGAGAGAGTGATTGATTAATTTGGATTGGAAGAAAGGGTGGAAATTTTCCTGGAGGTAATGTGTGTTAAGTTGAGACAAAAAGGGTGATTTTGTGAGGAAAGAAGGCTCCGAGATAGAGTCAAAGTGATGATGCTTTCATGCAAATGCAGTTATCTGGAATCCATGGGATTTAGGATATATGCATGGTACAGTACATGCGGACTAGATGCAAGGCGTTTACTACCATGCCGAAGTCTGTGGTTTGGTCTTCATTTTTGTAGGCAATGGAGAGCCATGATGGGTTGGTAAGTGGTCTGATCAGGCCCGTGATTTGGAAGGATAATTGGAGGTGGTGATAAGGTAGGTGGATGGGAGATGGGGTTGGGAGGCCAGTGAGCAGGGGAGACCATTGAGGAGGCTGGGCTTGTGCAACACATAGGCAAGAGATGATGAAGCCCTCAACTGTGCCAAGAGCGTTGAACACTGAAACAAGGAGACAGATGAGAGGAAATGCTTAAGAAGTCGAATCTTAAAATTTGGTGGCCCTGGGGAGGAGGTAAGAAGGCACAGGATATATACAGCACAGTATTTTAGAACATACAAGGGCCTGAGTCCTTTTTTATTAAGTTATTTAGAATCATAATGCAAAAACTATGGTTGAAATAACACCACCCACACAAATTATAGTTCTCTAATAACTAGCCAACAAGAGTTTGATTACAGAGACTTTTATTTCTTAACAAAGGAATGTATATTGTGAATAAAAGGATGGATTGAAGAGAGAAATGCTATCCAACCATTTTTTAAGCTCTTTGGAATCAGACCCTCCCTTGTTGGAGAAGCAGCACTCATTTATGGCCTACTCTGAATGACTAAGTATTTACCTCTTGCTCAGATAGCTTCCCTAGAAACACTTCCTTTGGTGTGAGCAACTTGGATTTACTGCCAGGGCAACACCTCTCATCCAACACCCACGCTGCCTCTTGGCGTGGTCCTCACCGGCAGGTGTTCATAAGCAGCATTTTGTTTTGCTTCTAATAAGAGCACAGTCTCAAAAGCATAGGCTGCATGTACCACACATTATAACTTCCATTTACAAGTGTTCTTATAGGAGAGATCGGAAAATGTGGGAGTCTTCAGGATCAGAAGACCAAGACTGCCTTTTCCCTTAATCATGCCAGGCCACACCTATGTTTTCCATACGAAGGAGAGGCAGCCAGATCCTGGGCAAGGTCAAATAGAAACAGTCTCTCCCACTGCATGGCACTGCATCCCCTGGGAATCTTCGTGGGCCCTGGAAGGCATTGGCAATGACACTTGTGTGGGAATAGCATCGCTGACAAGTGCCGTACATGAATTTAACCAAGCAGGAAACACCATTTAGAACACCACTTGCTGAGATGTGGCTCTTACCTGTGTCTGTCAGTGAACAATGACTACAACAAGCCCCGTTCAATCACAGTTGTTAGCAGAGCTAATTACAGCAGTCTCGGGTGGGAGGAATCCCAGCAGACGCCTCTAAGGGACTTCCATCACAGGTTCAAACACTGGCTTTGCAGGTAAGCAATGGAAACAGGCCCCTTGGGGGGCCTTTAAACAACAGTTCTCCACAACTCTGAACATGGATCCATCTTCACTCCACAGCTGGCGAAGGATCATTTTCAAAAGAGAACCACCACCAGAGAACGAAGGAGGAAAGGGATGTTTAAAGCCAGTAGGGTAAATGTTCTGGATTAAATGAGAACAGAACTGGGTATTATTCCTTGGGCCATCTTTGACTCACTGCATGACCTGATGGAGGTCGCTTCCTCTTTCTGGGCCTCACTCTTCTCATCTCAAAAATAAGGATAATAATACTGGCTCTATTTATATCACAGATTGCTGAAAGAATAAAATATGTAGTTTAAAAAATAGAAGTTGGGGAAAAATAGAAAATGCCATACAACTCTAGGTGGTGTCACTGTTATTCCCCTTCTTTTCTACATTTTACTGACAAATGATGAAAGGCAGTAAGAAAAAAGTCTGTGCTGTTGCAGAATCTCAAACTTTATTTTCTGATGCCTTTGAGTGATACTATGGTTTGCTCCTTTTCAGATATGCCTCCCCTTCCCCAATTTATTCTGGTGTAAACTCATCTCTAGTGTGAGGGGTTGGAGAAGACCCCAGGGATCTGAAGAGACCAACACCCTGTACCCTTCTAGTCTCATCTAAACGTCACCTGCGGCAACCCATCTTAAAGTCCTCCTTTCTCCCCTCCATAGGACACCTGATTTGGGAGGATGTCAGCCCTGAATGGGTCCCACAGTCAAGCTGGGACTTGAGGGGACACCTCCAGGACAGAACCGAAAAGAATTTGTAGGGTGTGCTGAACATGTCTTTATCTGGGTCTCTAGCTACGTTCTTGTTCCTACTAAAAATCTCAGCACACTTCTAATTAAGCAAGGCACGTCTACTTATCTGATGGTGCTGTCAGTGATAGAAAACGATCATATTATGGATTTGGCAGAGAAG